TACAGATGATACTTTTTTTGGTCATGGCCAGTGTAAGAATCTGTTTTGTTTTAACTACTCATATGTATAAGAAGAATTTTCGTTTCCTTGATTTCCCAGTGGCCAAGGAGAAAGAGAATATGAACCTGAAAAAAACTGAATTGGGAAAACCATAAAGAGTTAAAAAAGATACCAAAGAATCAGAGAAGAGCAAATGTTGTTCTGATTTTTTTTTAAAGAAACAAGCCTAAAACCTTAAAAAATATGTGTCATTTAAAAATATTTTAGGGGGCTAAGTCAAGATGGCGGAGTAAAAGCAGTGACTTGCATGAACTCTCCCCCAAAATACCTATAAAAAATGGCTCTAAACAAATTCTAAAACAGCAGAACCCACAAAAAGACAAACAAATTTCCAGCCCAAGACAGCCTGGATGGTTGACTGGAAAGGCATATTGCGTCAGGTGGGGAGAGGAACAGAGTTTGGTGCAAACCTGGAGCAGGGCTCAGAGGACTGAATCACAGGCAGCTGTAGCAGTTTCCAGACTTTTCAACCCATGAACACCAAAGACAACTTAAAAGATTGGTGGGAAAAGTCTGTTACTGCAGTGGAAGAAAGAATCACTGTTCCTGTCCCAGTCCCCAAGCTTGACCCCAGGGCAAGAGCTGCTTCCTGAGCTTCCAACCCACAGACTGAGGGGGAATTGCAATCAAGTGGCTGATAAGAAGGGGACTGCAGGGATCTCTCTGCTGGTACAGGATTCTCTTGCTTTGCCTGTGCTTGGATCTAGGTCACAGTTCTGGGTGGTGGTCCTAGAGCAAGAAAGAGTGCTGGCATGGTGGAGCTTGTAGTGGCAGTGGAGCAGAAATCCTCCTCATAGTTCCAAGGCAGAAAAGAGTGCTTGTGGTCACTCACAGGCCAGAGCACAGGCTAGGAAAAGAGTAAATGCCTCACCTCTTATATCCCCTTGGAAGAACTGAAAATTTACAGGTCCCTAAGTATCTCTGAAAACAGCTGCACAAAACTCTTGAACCTTGGGACAGTACACTCTCCACACTGGAGGCAGACCCCTACCTTAACAAAGAGTTTAAAACTCAAATAATTGGCTGGAATCATGAATAAACAAAGGTCCAAAAAAAGTCAGACCACAGAATCTTTCTTCGGTAATAAAGAAGATCGAAACATACAACCAGAAGAAGACAACAAAGTCAAAGCTCCTACATTCAAAGCCTCCAAGAAAAATATGAATCAGTCTCAGGCCATGGAAGAGCTGAAAAAGGAGTTTGAGAAACAAGTAAGAGAAGCAGAGGAAAAACTGGAAAGAGAAATGAGAGTGATGCAAGAAAATCATGAAAAACAAGTCAACAGCTTGCTAAAGGAGACCCAAAAAAATACCGAAGAAAATAACACCTTAAAAAATAACCTAACCCAAATGGCAAAAGAGGTCCAAAAAGCCAACAAGGAAAAGAAAGCCCTGAAAAGAAAAATTGGCCAAATGGAAAAGGAAGTCCAAAAGATTACTGAAGAAAATACTTCCTTAAAAATTAGAATGGAGCAATTAGAAGACAGTGACTTTATGAGAAATCAAGATACTGTAGAAACAAATCTGGAAGAATGAAAAATTAGAAAACAATGTGAAATATCTCACTGGAAAAAAATGACCTGGAAAATAGATCCAGGAGAGAGAATTTAAAAATTATTGGACTATCTGAAAGCCATGATAAAAAAAAAAAGCCTAGACATCATCTTTCAAGAAATTATCAAGGAAAACTGCCCTGATATTTTAGAACCAGAAGGTAAAATAGAAATTGAAAGAATCCACCAATCACCTCTTGAAAGAGATCCTCAAAGGAAAACTCCTAAGAATATTGTAGCCAAATTCCAGAGTTCCCAGGTCAAGGAGAAAATATTGCAAGCAGCCAGAAAGAAACAATTCAAGTATTGTGGAAACACAATCAGGATAACACAAGATTTAGCAGCTTCTACATTAAAGGACTGTAGAGCATGGAATATAATATTCCAGAGGGCAAAGGAGACAGGATTACAACCAAGAATCCCCCACCCAGCAAAACTGAGTATAATCCTTCAGGGGAAAAAATGCTCATTCAGTGAAATAGGGGACTTTCAAGCATTTTTGATGAAAAGACCAGATACCTTTTCAGTGAGGGTGAGTGGGGTGGGAGGAAGGGAAAAAATCTGGAACCTAAAGTTTTAAAAAGACATGTTAAAAAAATTGTTTTCACATGCAACTGAGAAATAAGAAACACAGGAAATGGGGTATAGAAATCCATTCCGCCCTACAGGAAAATAGAAGAGGAAGGGGATAAGAGAAGGGGGGGAGAGACAGAAGGGAGGGCAGATTAGGGGAAGGGGTATACAGAATGCATGCCATCTTGGGGTGGGGGGAGGAATGAAATGGGAAGAAAATTTGGAACTCAAAAACTTGTGGAAATGAATGTTGAAAACTAAAAATAAATAAATTTTTAAAAAATATTTTTGATTCCTAGCAAAATTCCATGATGTATTATTAAAGAAATCACTAGTGAACAACTAGAAAAGGAAGCAGAGATCACTAAGAACCAACAAGGTTTCATAAAGAGCAAGTCTCATCCTAGACAATACTCAGTTTTTTTGGGGGGGCAAGGTTAATAGAATGGTAGAACAGACAACTACTGTAAACAATTTACCTAAATTTTATCAAAGCATTTACCAAATCCTCTCATGTTCTTCTAGTAGACAAGAGAGAGGTGGGCTAAACAGTATTATTAAGGCAGATTAAGAACTGGTTTCAGGACCTGAGACAAAAAGTCACTAATGGTTTGATGTCAACTTGGAATATTTCTAGGGTAATATTCTAGGGAACCACCTGGCCCTGAGCTGCTTGACATTTTTATTAACCACTTGGCTAAAGGGATGGATAACATGATCATTAAATTTGCAAATGGCCCAAAACTGGGAGATATGGCTGACCAATCAGTCATTCAACAAGTTTTTTTTTTGTTTTAGGCAATTGGGGTTAAGTGACTTACCCAAGGTCACACAGCTAGTAAGTATCAAGTATTTGGTCTGAGGCCAGATTGAACTCAGGTCCTCCTGACGTCAGGGCTGGCACTCTATCCACTGCACCACCTAACTGCCCCTAAAGTGCACGCATACTCTCTTTTTCTTTTCTTTTTTGGCTAGGCAATGGGGTTAAGTGACTTGCCCAGGGTCACACTGCTAGTAAGTGTTATGTGTCTGAGGCCGAATTTGAACTCAGGTCGTCCTGAATCCAGGGCCAGTGCTCTATCCACTACGCCACCTAGCTGCGCTCGACAAGCTTTTAGTAAACACCTACTATTAACTAGCAGTTAGATGGTACAGTGGATAGAGTGCCAGGTTGCAGACAAGAAGACTTCTCTTCCTTGGTTCAAATCTGGCTTCAGACACTTAACAGCTGTGTGATCTTGGACAAGTCACTGAACCCTGTTTGTTTCAGTTTCTCCATCTGTAACATATGCTGGAGAAGGAAATGGCAAACCACTCTAATACTTTTGCCAAGTAAACCCCAAATAAAGTCAGAAAGAGCCAAACAACTGAAAATGATTAAACAACAGCAACATTAACTATTGAGGATATAAAGACAAAAATCACAATCTCTGCCCTCAAAGATCTTACTTTCTATTGAGGAAAAGGCATTTACACACAAAGTATGTGCAAAATGTATATTTTAAATTTGGACCTGTGATTTCCCTGGTAGAGGGGACTTCCAGCAAGGAAACTCCCTTTTCTATTACGGATCAGCAAGAGCTCAGCAATTTGTAGTCACAGAGGGTTGCCTTGAGGCACTGAGAAGTTACTTGCCCAGGTTCAAATAGCAACTATGTACCAAGAGGCAATATTTTATCAGGTCTTCCAGACTCAGAGGTCATATCTCTATACACTTTGACACTATGTCTCATGAAAAACACAAGGTAATTTCATCAAGAAACTGAGGGGATCAAAAAAGGTTTCTAGGCCTCTGTGGGTACTGGCTGAACTTGCAGGAAATTTGAGATTCTAAGATGCAAAGGTGAAGAAAGATTACACTGCAAGTGTAGAGGGAGGGGAACTGGAGACAGCTAATGCAAAGACATGGAGATAGGAGATGGAATGTTCTGTATGAAGAACAGCAAGGAGGCCATTTTTTTCTTTCTACTTTTATTGTTATATAGCATTTTCTGCCTCATATACACTTTTTTTTTCTTTTTGGTGAGGCAATTGGGATTAAGTGACTTGCCCAGAGTCACACAGCTAGTGAGTGTTATGTGTTTGAGGCCAAATTTGAACTCAGGTCTTCCTGACTCCAGGGCTGGCCCTCTATCCACCGCGCCACCTAGCTGCCCTGACACCACTTTTTCTCCATAAAGAATGAGGAGATGGTTATGTTAACTATATATTATTTATTATCTAAATTGGGAGAAGGACCTTTACATAAAAAAGGTTTTCCAGTATTTGAAGGTCTGTCACACAGAAAAGATTTAAATTAGTTCTTCCTGGCAAAAGAACAGAATTAGGAACAAGGTGGAAGTTACTGGGCAGGTTCCAGTTTGATATAAGGAAAAACCTCAAGAAATGAGAACCGTTCAAAAGAGGAATGGACTGCTTCTTGCAGTACTGGGTCCTCCCCTTGCTAGAGATCTTTGAGCAAAGGCTGGATGGCTATTTGTAAAGTATGCTGATGGAATTCTTGTTCAGGTACTAGTGAACTTGAGGTCTTAAATGAAAGGTGAAGAGAAGTCAATTCAATAAGGCTGGAGGTGATTTAGGGGAGATTTAATAACTCTTCAAGTACACAAAGAAAGCTAGTAGTTGAAGTGAGTTCCTGGTTGAAGGCTATGGAAGAAATTAAATGAACTTTCAATATTGGTTTCAGTCTACAGTAAGTTTAACAGAGCTCAAAAGCCAGCTTCTAGAAAATACAAAACACTGGAACAAAGAAAGGAATCCCTTTGCCCACCAAGAAGAAACAAGGGAGAGAAAATGGCAAGGAATAATCACCTACCCAAGACAGGAGTGCAGCTGCCCTGGTTGCATGAAGAGTCATACTGGCGATGTCAGATGGTCAGCCCACCACACCTGGAACCTAAAGAGAAGAAGAGCAGCAGTTTAGAGTTTGGGAAGTCAGGTTAACTTACTATGTTATAAGAGGAAAGAAAAACTGTTTTTGTTTAGGCTTCCAAGCAATCCAAATTGTACCCACTGCTTAGGCCCAATTATGGCAACATTCTAGGTAATAAGACAATTTTTCCAGAGATTGGAGAAGTTGCTACTGCTGCCCAAAAGTAGATTATCACTGACAATCTTACAGAGAAGACTACTGGACTAAATTCAACGTTCATGCTCTATCCAAGTACTTTGGAAAAGATAACTTTTTAGGCTGGACCATAGTCGTATTCTGTGAAGACCTCCCCCTTAAGCAGAAGATGGCAAGATTCTAAGGCTTCCTAAAATCCTGCCTGATTCACATAAGCAGGTCTTCAGGGAAGGGTTCACTTTTCCCATCCTAAGTTTTCAATATTACTAGTTGAGGTAGAAGAACCTAAAGGGTCTTCTAAAAATCTAAGTTACCTAGGATTTACTTTACTCATAATCCAACTTCTTCATTTTACATAAAGATAAGAAAACTGAGGTCCAGAGAGAAGTGATCTGTCCATGGTAACATAGGTAGAGAGAGCTATAATTCAAATCCAAGTTTGATTCCAAATCTAAGTGGTGTCCTTTTCACTCTATCAAGATGCCTCACCTTAGAATTGTATGTCAAAACCAAGGCTCCTTAAGTAAATATAAATCCAGCTCTTCAAGAGAACATGAGATAACTTAGGACATTTAGAATTTAACAGACATTTATTCAGTACCTATTAGATATAGAGAGTACTTTGCTAAGGAGGGCAAATTTAGATAAGGTTCTTGCCTTCCTAGAGTTTAGTAGACAGATAAGACAACAACACAGATGGCTATAATACATAATCATAATCCAATCAAATCACCATTTATGTGCCAAATACATGTAAGATATATCAGGTGTTGGATATTCAAAACCAACCACATTAGTCTTAGAATAGGGTTTTGTCCCAGAATTCTTTGCCCCAACTTCCCTTCAATTTGAAGCCCTAGGAAGTAATCAATGCAGATGCTGGCTTGTCTGAAGAACCTTAGCTCTGGAAGTCAATATACCTCCCAGTAATTCACACTACCCTTTCCTGACAACCAGAAATGATTAAAACCAGACCCTGCCCCATAGTTAGTCTGACCTTTTGGAGAAGAGCTAGAGCAGTAAGGTTATGTCCATGCGCTTAGAAGATTTTCTATATTCTCAAGTTTAGAGAGGCTGTTGTTTGGTCGTGTTTTACGCTTTGTGACCTCATTTGGAGTTTTCTTGGCAAATTTACTGATGTTTGCCATTTCCTTCTCCGGCTCATTTTACAGATGAGGAAACTGAGCCAATCAGGTTTGGTAGAGTCACACAGCTAGTAAGTGTTTGAGGCCACATTTGAACTCAGGTCTTCCTGACTCCAGGGATGGAGCTCTATCCCCTTGTGCCACCCAATCCCTAACCTGCAGGAATTTATAATCTAGTTGAAGAAGGAAGACAAACACACCTGAAATAACACTTAACAATATTAGTGACACATATTTGCTAAATATAATCAAGGAAGTGCTTTCTGATGATGATCACATTTATAGTGCTTTACAGTTTACAAGGTCACACACAGCTCCAGCACTTGAATTCAGGCCTCTTGAATCTATTGACTCTTTCATGTTATGCCATTGTCAGAGTCCTAGAGATAAACTAGATTCACTTGAGATTTGAAAAAAGAGAACAAAGAAATTAAGGGGGAGCCCAAGTAATGGAATGCCTACTCTACGGAACTGCTTTGAGAATCACAGATGTGAAATTATTTGATCAATGTAAGCTTCTATTATTGACTAAGTCCTAACCACACAGCAAGATCTACTCATGATCACTAGGTAGCCCTTACGTGATAGCTGACCAGCCCTGGGGTTAGTAAGATTTTGCTGGTTTATAAACTGCAAGAATCCTGAGGGGAAATACTCTGGTCAGAGGCCAGACAAAAGTACTCTCTTGGCTCAGCTTGGGTCTCCCTTGCTTTTTGGGAAGGGGAGTAAGGCTAAATTCCTTCTCTGCTCATTCCCACCTTGGAGCAAGAGTTCAATCTCAATCTTTCTTTTTGAGACCAAACTCATCCTTGGATTATTCCCATCACTCCTTAGGGTCTCCTCTACTCTCCCACCAATCATCTACCTTCCTAGTGATGAGAACAAAAGCTTGTGATAGAAAAGACATTTGTAAACAGATTTCGTTTCTACTCCTGCTCCAGGAGTAAAGGGTAAAAGTTATGTCATTAGAACTAAAAGGAAACTTAAAAGATCACCTAATATAACCACTAGTAACCATTTTACAGACGAGGAGAAAAGTCTAGTTGGTAAAATACTGCCCAAGGTCACACTATTCCACTCCCTAGAACTGTGTTTCCTAAACAAATTTGGCCAAATGTTTTTGAAATACATTTAAAGTCTGTAATAGCAGTTCACATTTATATTTCTAAAGCACTTTTCTCAACACAAACTTGGAGGATACAAGTATCACTACTTCTATTTAACAGATGAAAAAAGTGATGCTCAAAGATATTAAGTGGTTTGCTCAGGGTCATACTGCTATCAGTGTTGAAGCCTAGACTTAAAACCTAAGTCCTCTGTCAGATCAACTGCTTTTTCCACTTCACTCTGTTGCCTCTCCAGATATTAGTCTTCGGAGCCAGGGATCCAGAATACCCAGATTAAAGGGGTAAAGTCAAATGGAGAAATTCTGCACCAAAATATGGAAAATCAAGCCTATTTTCCCAAATTGCCATTTTAATGCATAATTTTATATTTAATATGAGGGAAAAGTAGTGTTAGTATCAACATGATCCTGCCAAAACTGGTATTCACATTCCGTGAAATAAAAGAATACCAAAGAACTACTGCCCTAGAAAGAGTGGACAGCAGAGCAGTAAAGACACAAATTTGATTATAAGGGGTTGAAGAATGGGTGTATGGGAGTACTTTCCAAGATTCCTAATTTGATAATATAAACTGTTTTTGAAAAATACTATCATTTTAAATAACATACAATTTAATATGGATATTTATCAAGTCTTACACTTTGCTTCCAAGCATCAACCTCACAAGTACAAGATGGGAGAGGTATGTCTAGACAGAAGTTCATCTGAAAAAGATCTGAATGTTTTAAGGGACTCACTGTTGGCCATTAAGCTCAATATGAGTTAAGAGCATAATATGGCAGCCAAAAAAGCTAATGTAATCTTAAACTGCACTATGAAAGGCATAGTATATAGTGGCAGGATTGTGAAAAGGTCTGTTCTAATCTACACTGGCAAAATCACAGAGTATAGTGTTTGATTCTAACCACTACATTTTAGGAAGGACCAGTGGCTCCTCCACCACATGTGGCCTTCAAAAATGATTAATTACTAGACGGGATTCTTGTTCAGATGTAGGCTTGACTAAATGGCTTCTGAGGTCCCTTCTACTCCAAGAATATGTGACTTTGGAGTCAGAGCAGCTGGTTCAGATTTTGGCTCTGTTACTACTACTACTGTACTAGTACTTTATTATCTTGATCAAGTCACAACATCTCTCACTAGATAATTTCTAATGTTCTTTCTGGATCTAAATTCTATGATTCTGTAAGAAAGTGGTTCTATCAACTGACAATCTGAGATTTGTATAGAAAAAAGCTCTTAAGGGCTGATCCTAAGGAATGAGTAGAGCTTCTCCCTGACCCCACTCTTGGATATCATCTAGTAATCATTATTTCCACTTTAGGGCTGCCCTTGCTGGAAAAACCAATATAGTTTTTTGTTATATGCACCACTTTCCCCTTGTCCTGTCTTCCCCTCTCCCCCCAATCCCTATGTGCTTCACAGGTTGTGCCAGCTAGCTTCTAGGTACTTTCCAACTCGATCTATGAGCCATTAATCTAAGGTATATACAGAAGCATTCCTCACCTCTTGGAGTCAGTCATTCCACTGTTTCCTTCTAAGTAAAAACAGGGTTAATGAATTATTCTAGAATGGCATAGCCAGTCCTTCTGTTCAAGGAGGGTACTATGGCTTTAAAGAGGCATTGGCTAGGAACCCAAGGGATTTCAGCCAGAGCTCCATCCTCTCCTCCCTCCCTCTGAAATCTGAGGAAGGCCCCACCCATAAGACACAGCCATGGTGATGGCGACACAGAAAAACAGGGTGATCCTCCGCACTCACAGAACCTGAGGCCATTTTACAGAGATCTCAGTCAGGCTAGGTCCCACCCCATAATTCTGAATGACCTTCAGCATTTGTTCCCACAGCTTTTTAGTTCTCCCTATCTTTGATGCCTAAAGGAAGCCTACTAGGACTCCTGCTCTCTTTGGCTTTTAACTAAAGACTAGCAGTCACCTCATATTTCCAAAGTTGTGATAAAGCAAATAGACTCCTCCCTAGCAGGACCTACTCTCATATTTTTATATTTAACCCTCTCAGTGCTATGAGAGTCAAGCTGTAGGGAGGGAAGGCGGTTTCTCACCTACCAGTCAGTTGGGCTTCCAGGTTTAAACCTTCCCTGAGACTCAACGGGTTAACCAAAGTCAGCTCCATGCCTATGACTGTAGCTAATGCAAACCACATGCTCATAGGAGGAAAATGAGACAACAGAAAGATTCATGTTGACCATTCCTGGTAGCCTTAATGGGGAGATCAAGGTGTCTCCACCCAGGTAGCTCACAGCTCCCTTGAAGATTGTTATTTCCTTTTGCCCGACTTAAACTGCAGGCTTATCTTGACATAATACCTAAAACAGTAACCTTTGACACCACAGAGGAGTTAACCAAAGTTCCCTGTACATGCAGGACTTCTCATTCCTTTACATGTTCCTAACATTTTCCTTCCCTTACCAGGACATGGCTGCCCACTCAAAGAGATCACTCCCTTAAGTTAGCTTCTCACCAATCAAAGGGTTTGAGGACAAAGAGATTTCCTAGATAAATCAAATGCCTCCTCTAGGTTCCTGAAAATCAGGACTGTCAATCACATCACTCAAGTGAGTAATATTCTATCTGCCCTTAGCTATAAGGTCCCAGATTCCTTATCTGTCTCCAAAAGGAACACTGAGACTGCCTCTAATGCAATTACACCCACCTGCAGAATAAGTCCCTCGCTCTCTTGTTCCTCCAGCAACTTCAGAACAATGTATATGGAGGTGTGGTGGGGTTAGAGGGACAACATCAAGGTTTCACCTTCTCAGAAACTCCATGGGGGCATATAGGACAAATCTGTCCAGAATACAGAGAGGAATAAGAACTGTGTGCCTACTTCGTATCCCCCCTAAAGGGGAAGAAGAAAGAAAGAGGTACACCTGTGTCTCTCTATATTGAAGGTTAGAAATGCATGAAAGGAAGGGAGACCCAAAAAAGGCAAGAGAGACAAAACGAGATCCTAATTCTTGACAGCGCCAAGTTGATGGCTCTCTGGTCTGTAGGGTCTTGTTGGACTTTTGGGTTAGGGAGTCAGGCCAACTGGCTTCTTGGAAGGGCTCCCTTCCATATAACCTGGCTTTCTGAAAAGAGCAAATCTGGGTTCAGGCCCTCCCCTTTTACACATAGCCTAACTTTCTCTTTGAAGTTTGACCCAAAGGCCCTAGAGAGCAATGGAGAAGCTTGACTCTCAGCTATTTTCTGCGGTTTATCACTCCATTTTAAATTATTTTATCGGCCCAGTCAGGCCTGGAAAAAGCCACAAGACTTGGGGTAAGCTATGAGGATGGACAGTCATATACACATCCCCCTTGACCTGTCAGGCTGGTGACCAATCCTTCAGAAGCCCTTCTCCAGACCTCGCTCCCACACCTGTCTTCTCCCCGCCCCCGCCCTGACTCAAGCCAGCCTGCTCCCCACCACTGGACACCATTTGTTTCTACTACCTCCAGGCCTCCCAAGAGAGAAAGAACCGTCTCCTGGCCTGCTTCGGTAGCTCAACGCGCAGGCCGACACAGACGCACGCGGACACACGTATACACACACAAACCCACGTATACACACACAAACACACCGTTCCCCTAAACAAAAACCCGCTGACATTACAAGGGGGCGAAGCAAACAGGCCAGTCCCCCACCCCCTTACTCCGAAGGGCGCCAAGTCCCGGATGTGGCCAAGCCAAACCAAGCCGCGTTCCCGGGCCTGCTTGTTTACTCGCTCGGCTCCGCTCGGCCCCCTCCCCTCCGCCTCCCCCTCCCCCCACCAGCCGGATGGCGCAGCAAGCGCAGGGGGCGCAAAAGCCACCCCACCCCCTCCTTCCAAATTCGAACAAAAACCCCAAGACAAAGTCTTCGTGCGAAGGGCCTTACCCGACTTCTAAAGCCGAAGGCGTCTGGGCCTTTTAATCCGCCATTAGCGTTTAAATCTTGGAAGGCAAAGGACTCGAGAGGAGGGAGGAGGGAAGAGGAGGAGGAAATGGGGAGGGAGGAGGGAGGAAGAAAAGTAGCCCCCACGCACAAAAGAAAAGTTGTTGGTTTTCTCCTCGGCGAGCCTGGCAGGAGCGAGGGGGCTGGCGGCGGGCCAGGCGTGCGTCACGGCCCGAGTCTGCTCTCTTTAAAGGCGCAGCGAGCCCGGCTCCTCTCGCCGCCGCCGGGAGAGCCCTCCGCCCAGGCGCGCTCCTCCCAGGCGGGGGTGGGGGGCGGCCGCTGGGGGGGGCCCGGGCTGCTGGGGGCCCTGCCTGAAGGGGAGGAGCTGTGGCCACAGCCTGCTCTACCCTAGACGCATGAAACGCATTTTCTGAGGCCTGGCTGTCAGACCTGTTGTCCGATCCCAGAAATTCCCTTTCCAAATATTTCAGGGCAACCCCCCCCCACCCCGTCATCAGTGAGAGCTCAGCCAGCTCCCCAGGACCGACGGGCTCCCCTGAAGGACCAGCTGAGCCTTCAGCGAGTCCCTGAAGCCTTCAAGGGCTGGTTAACTGGGTCAGGTTCCTGCTGGTGCGGGGCTTCTGCCTGTAAACACACACACCCACACACACACACCCACACCCCAGTTCCGCTGGTGCCACCAGCTCTAGGACATGGCTGCCAGTCACATCCATTCCCCAAAAGAATTCCCTCTGCTCCATACCTTCTGCTTGGCAAGGCCAAGTTCCAGGCTGTCTGCTCCTCCCCCTCGGCTACCCGGAACAAAAATGATTGTGGCCCCAGTGTGCAGCCTGCTACTCTCCCGGACGGGCTACTATGGGCTATTGTCCAGTGTGGAATAGCTGACAAAACCCCAGCAGAGCTGCCAGAACCTAATCCCCTGTTCTGCTGTGCATCTGTGGGGAGGGGCAGGAAGAGCCAGGGAGCAGAAATAGGGTGTAGGACCAAAGCTCACTGCTCTCCCCCAAGTCTACAGGTATAGCAGAAATAGAGACAGATCAGAGAGAATCCTATACAACATCTATGGAGAAGGCTTGCCACCCCCACACCCAATGCAAAAACCACGAACCAGGGTGTCTTTGCAGCTATTTAATCTAATTTTATTTCTGTAACATTATCTTATACAAACAGTTGTTAGAAGGATCACTAGACTTATCAGGAGAGCTGGGTTTGAATCCAATTCCTATACTTCCTAGCTAGTCTCAGTTTCATCATCTATAAAATGGAGATAGCAACAGCTGTACCACCTACTTTACAAGGATTGTTATGAACAAAGTGCTCTGTAAACATTATAAAAATGTAAATTATTATGTATTATTATAGAAATCCTAAGTAAAACAGAGTTTAGGCCTGGCATTCAAGATTTTCTACATTCTGACTATCACTTATCTACCTTTCTCTCCTACAAAACACCTCTGGCTCCAGCCAATCCTGTCTATAAACTGTCTACAATGAAAATCGTGGGGATTCCTGTCTCAGCATACCAGTTCATGCCATTACTACAGTAGTAAAAATGAGTTTGCTATCCCGGGCAGTGTTCAAAGCAGAGGTGAGAGACAGGCTTATAGAAGGTGGAACTAGATAACCTTTAAATACTGTGTTAACTGTGAGAAATAACTAGAATACTATTCTTCCTCTCCTGTCTATCTGAACCTTACATTCAAATCCCAAGTATCTGTATAATCTTGGGCAATTCATTTTGCCTCTCTAAGCCTGTTTCCTGTTTTATAAAATAGGAGTATTAAGCTTTAAGACCTACACTGGATTCTGTGCCAATATTTCTGTGAATCGGCCTCTCATTATCCCACTCTATTCTGAACTGTTCATCTTCTGAACTATTAATAACTGTATCACTTATTTGGCACATCATCTATTTGCCTGATATTGTCAGTTACTGTGTGTCTCCCTCCAAAAAGCATAAAAGCTCTCTGAGGGTAGGGATGATGTCTCATACAGGCATGACCTAGATGAGGTCAGCCAGAACAAAACTGTTTTGCACTAATGTCAATACAGTATAACCAAGCCACATCAGTTTTAGATTCTTGGCTGGATCTGTAATGTTATGAAGTTTACAGGTCATCAAGTATTTATTAAGCTACTATGTGCCAGGCCCTGTGTCATTTAATATGGGTAATCGGTCCAGTGGCACAGATCTTAGTCCCTTCACAGCCTACCATCTTGTGTAATTCTCAACTATGTCTTTCCATAAACCCTCCATAAAGGAAAAAAATGAATTCTAGAAATGCAAATTCCATCTACTCTTTGAGTGATGATCCTCTGAGAGTAGCCTGGGAGCCTTTCAAAAAACAGCCCATCAGAAAACAATTGCTATGGGGCAGCTAGGTGGTGCAGTGCATAGAGCTCCAGCCTTGGAGTCAGGAGGACCTGAGTTCAAATCAGGCCTCAGACACTTGACATTTACTAGGTGTGTGACTCTGGGCAAGTCACTTAACCCCAATTGCCTCACCAAAAAGCAAAAAAAAAAAATTTAAAATTTAAAAACTGCTGAGCAAGCTCACAGCAGTGCCTATAAATGTTATGAGATCTCCACCTTCCATACTACCTTTAAGACCAAGAAGACTAGAACACCACCCATCAAGCCTCTAATTTCCTATATTACCATAAATGCAAAGGTATATAAGAGATGGAAGGAGGAAGAAATAAGCATTTATATAGTGTCTGCTATATGCCAGGCTATGCTAAGTAAGCCCTTCACAAATATTTCATTTGACCCTCATAACAACCTTGGGGGGTAGGTGCTATTATGATCCCCATTTTATAGGTGAGGAAACTGACAGGAAACAGAGGTTAAGTGTCTTGCTCAGGGTCATATAGCTAGTGTCTCAAGTCCAAATTTAAACTCAGCTCTTTCTGACTCCAGGTCCAATATTCTATCCACTTAGTTCCCTAATGGCACACCCTCACCCACCCTAGCCTGGAGCAGGGAAGGAAGAATTGGTATTACCATTATAAAAATTATCATAGAATGAAAGAACTGAAAGATCTTCATTTTTTTTTAAGGTAATTAAGGTTAAGTAACTTGCCCAGGGTCACACAGTTAGTGTCAAGTGTTTGGTCTGAGGGCCGATTTGAACTCAGGTCCTCCTGACTTCAGGGCCGTGCTCTATCCACTGCGCCACCTAGCTGCCCTGGAACTGAAAGATATGAAAGATCATCTAGTCCAGTACACTCATTTTGCAGAAAAGGAAACTCAGGTTCAGAGAACAGAGATGACTCCGTCACCTGCAAGTAAGAAGAGGAGGCAGGACCCAAACCAGGTCTTCTGACTTAAAAGTCTAGTCTGCTTTCCACCACATCCTCCTCCTTTTAATTTTTTTTGACTAGGCAATGGGGTCAAGTGACTTGCCCAGGGTCACACAGCTAGTAAGTGTTATGTGTCTGAGGCCGGATTTGAGCTCAGGTCCACCTGAATCCAGGGCAGGTGTTCTATCCACTGCGCCAACAAGCTGCCCCATCCTTCTCCTTTTAAAAGATGTAAGAATTGAATAGTGTGAATTTTAGTCAGGTAGTGACCTGGTTCCCAAAATAAAATGCTCCCTGTAATGTTGATTTTCTAAATTCCCAGAACCAATAACATTACTGATGTGCCTGAACACCTCTGTGTTCTTGAACATAATTACATGCACAGTATTTGGATGACTAAGAGGGCTTCAATCAGCAACATTTGGCCTTCCAAATCCAAACTTACCAAAGAAGAACATATTTCCATATCACCTGAACCTGCAAAACATTTTGTTTATGGCAATCTTATTATAGTTACTACAAGTATCACCATTTTACACATGCAGAAACTATAGCTCAGTGACCTGCAAAGTGTCCAAAGCCCCCTGGACACTACTAAATCAGAAACGGGACTTAATCTCAGGCTGTTTGACTCCAAGTCCAGTACACACATTTCCTACTACACATCATTGAATGCGGGTGGATGCTAAGGCTTAGATGAGCAAAAATCAAGCCAAGAGTGGCAGCAGCATCATGTGATGGGATCAGAGAAGGCAACCTAACAGAGCCTGAAGGGGATGCTTCAACACTCACCCAGATAATCTAGCTTAACCTGGCATGGGGAGGGGGGGGTAGAGACAGACAAAGGAAGCCCAATATCTCCTATCTTTCTTCTCTCCCTGTATAGAACTCTGAGAAGCTGGGAGGGCCCTGATAATTATATGATTTGGGCATGTGTGTATGGACGCAGGCATGTACACAGACATGCACACTCATACATAAAAAGGGGATGAGAAATAGACAAATCCTTGTGTGATAGTAAGTTTCCTATACTTCCCACAGTATTCGTATCATGTCCCTGGTGGTCCCAGAGCTACCACCACCTCCCATCCTCTTATCTGCTTCTATTGCTGTTTTTTCTAACCCTCTAACTCCAAACCATATGCTCTAAGTTCAGGAAAGGATAAGTCCTCATCAGGCTCCCTTCCCTGCCACTTTCCTCCATCAACAAGGCAGCTATTAAAGCTCATGTCAAGAGAGGAAAAAAAACTACTAAGAAATGGATGAGTGGAAAATAGCTAAGAGACTCTCACAAGCTAGAATAACAAAATGTGGAACTTTTAAGCACTATGTCTCACTGCTAGATACAGAAAAAAAGGTACTACATCTCAGTGAAGTATGGCAGCCTTCCACTGTCCTATATTAAAGCTATGTTGCATGGCCATTGGCTGAATCCTTCTCAGAAGTCTCTCTCTGGTTACCAGACCATCAAAACGGACCTCCTCACCAGAGTGTCTCAAAGATTGCAACCAGTTTCCCCAATCTCTCTTTAGAATCAGAGAATTTGGAGCTGGAGATCACAAAAGAGACAGCTTCACAAAAAGCACTGGCCTAGGAATTCAGAAGACTGGCCTCTTCAGTCAGATTACGAGTTACCTCCACCTTTGTGCCTTATGTTCCAGCCAAAATGAGCTAGTCTGTTGCTTGTGCTCTTTGCCCTTGGTTGCACTATTCCCTATCCTTTTTCCTTCCCCACTGCATCTCTATATGTCGAATTTGATCCCCACAACCCCAAACAAAGGCTGCCTTTTCCACCCAGCAGGCTTTCTGTGATTTTCTTGAGCAGATCTGATTTTTCTGTCTTTAAATGGCACTTTACCGGAACCTTTTTAATTCTCTTAAATCGTCTCATACTATACTGGAGTTATGTGTCCATGCCTTGTAACCCTGCCTACATTGTGAAGACTGTCAGCCTTATTCATTATAACATTGTAT